TGGAGGCTAGCGAATCCATACATAGCTTTAAGCAGAGGTATGATAAAGCTCATGGTTCAGGGGAGAGTGACTAGTGGCGACCAGTGTAGAAGGCAGGGCCAGTAACTTGGAATTCGACCCCTGCAAACCTACTAGGTGTGAGTACAACCTAGGTGAGGACATCACACTGTCCAACCAGGAAGGAGGTAACTGGGACCTAGTCACGCCTTGGGATTTTTCTTCCAAATTGCGTTGTGGTCATTCATGTGTGGTCCTTGATATAAATTATTTACTAACAGTAGTGTAAGGAACTTTGTAGGGAATATTCAACGTTAGTGTCCGATTTAACGAAAGGAATTAAGCTTTAGAGGAGACTTCCAGGGCCATTTAAGGAGGATTTGTTAAGTTGTCAGTTTTGGGAGGTGGTGCTCGAGGTGGTGGTGTCTGGGTGGTGGTGCTCGAGGTGGTGGTGGTCGGGGGGGTGGTGGTTCTCGGGTGGTGGTGGTCGGGGTGATTGTACTCGAGGTGGTGGTGGTCGGGGTGGTGGTGCTCGAGGTGGTGGTGGTTGGGGTGGTGGTGCTCGAGGTTGGTGGTGTTCGGGGGTGGTGTGTGCTCCGATGGTGGGGTGGTGGTCGGGTGTGGTGGTTATCAGGGAGCTGGTGACAGGGTGGTGCGTTGCTCGGGTTGGTGGTGTTGAGGTGGTGCTCGGGGGTGGTGGGTGGTGAGTGCTCAGAAGTGGTGGTTATCAGGGAGTTGGTGCACTGGGTGGTGGTGCTCGGGGTGGTGGTGGTGCTCGGGGGGTGGTTATCGGGGTCGGTGGTGCTCGGGGTGGTGCTGGGTGGTGGTGACTCGGGGTGTGTGCGTGCATCGGGTTGGTGGTGTATCGGGGAGTTGTTCACGGGGTGGTGGTGCTCGGGGTGGTATGCTCGGGTGGGTAGTGCTCGGGGAAGGTTGGTGCTCGGGGTGGTTATGGGGTGGTGGTGTCGGCGTGGTGGTGCTCGGGGTGGTGCTGGGTGGTGGTGCTCGGGGTGGTGAGTGCTACGGGGTGGTGGATTATCGGCGGAGTTGTTCACGGGGTGTGCGTGCTCGGCGGTGGTAGTTGCTCGGGGTTGTAGTGCTCGGGGTGGTGGTGCTCGGGGGTGGTGTTATCAGGGAGTTGCGTTACAGGTGGTGGTTATCGTGGTGGTGGTGCACGGGTTTGTGGTATACTCGGGTTGGTGGTGCTCGGAGAGGCTGGGTGCTGGACTGAAGTGATCTCTTTACTCGCTGCCCAACCCATTCTCATCCTATTACGTAAATGTGACTAATATCAACGTAAAATTCTAACGCTTCTTTATCTTTTCTTCAAAATCCATTTTTCATACTTTAAATAACGTAAAACTAAATTACCTTAGGTTACGTTAATTTTTGACAGGATAGGTTAGGCTTGTTTCGGTTGAGTTAGGCAACTTGAGCTTATAAAACCTCACATTTCACCAAAACATATTAGAAAATAAACACCCGAGTTTAGTTGGTTAGGTGGTGGCCGAGGAAAGGTAATAAAACGTTGTATTCTGAACGTTAAACCTTCTAGGTGGAGGACTGTGCGCAGCAGCACTACTTCAGCCCTGGTGAGCAGGTGACGAGGGATGTGTGTACCAACATGAAGGTTGGAAGTCAACGCTAATGCTTGTGAGAGATGTCGTCGACCAGCTGTGTGAAGCAACAGCAACGGTAGCTGTTGCTGCTGCTGCTGTTGCTGCTGTTGCTGCTGCTGTTGCTGCTGTTGCTGCTGCTGTTGCTGCTGTTGCTGCTGATGTTGCTGCCATCCTGCTGCTGAGGTGGCTGTGACTGTTGTTTAATCGGCTGTTTAACACGTAAACTGTTTACCCACTGCTTCGTCTCGCTTCGCCTGAGTTGTGGTTTTTTTTATTCCCGGGATACGGTAGGCACCTCGGGAAATTTTTGAATATATAATCTGATTAGTTTTAAACTGATGCTTGCTATTGTTTTTAGTGCAATGGCATTTGGTGTTTTGCGTTTATGTATGCAAAGTTCTTTTTGTTGAATAATCCTCTTGGGTTTGTCCTATTTAACTTTTATTACAGGCCCTACTGGCCAGTAGGCTCTAGAGTTCTTGAAACAACCCAAGATATTATTTCCCCTTAATGGAGGAATGGGTTTTAGGGTTTGTCTTGAAGCTGTTGTGATTATTCTCTTGATTAAGACATCTGAGCTTGCCCCTCCCCCCCCCCCCCTCAATCCTTTCTTTAATCAAAAATTGATTGGTTCTCTTACCAGGCTCGCTCTGCCAAATATAATAATTATTAATCATAATAATATAATAATTATAATAATGTAATTCAGTGTTGGGAAACGTTTTCATTGTTTTTCTTTATTCGTAAATAAAGTCTTTTCTTTATTGTTTAAAAAATTGATATAAAAAAAATGTCTAAGTGTATTATGGTATCACGGTGCACCGTGGCCTGTGGTTTACAGCTCTCGCTTCACACGGTGATGTCTGGGTTCGATTCTCAACGAGAGGTTAGAAGCATTGGGCGTGTTTCTTACACCAGTTGACTATGTTCACCCATCAGTAAAGTGGGTACCTGCGGTGTTGTCGAACTGGTGTGCGGGGTGCCCCCCCCCCCCCCCCC